GTTTTTGTGTTTCTCTAGAGAACCCAATCCAACACAAAAAGGTAGTTGTGTGTGTGTTTGTGTGTGATCAGGAAATCACAGCTCAGTAAAAGTGGCAATAAGGAGCCTTGGAAACCATCTCAACCACCTTACAGATGAAGGGACGTACCCATGACCTGCCCTGAGCCTGGTCTGCTTGATTCTAAGTCCAGAGCTCTTTCCACAACGATTTCTGTGGTCTGGATTTCATCATTAGTGTGTGGGACTGAAGAGCCAGGCTTGTGTTTGGGACAGGGAATACTTTTCCATCTTAGGGGTCATATGCAAATACCTAACAACCAGCATTGCAGAAGCAATCGGAACATTCAGGAAGCCCCCTCCTACACAGGGCACTGATTAACCTGCAAGTGTCCAGTTGATAGATTTAGGTAAATTGGGGGCATGGGGAAGGCTGGAGTAGTAGAACTGCTTGGGGACACTGGAGCGAGACTCAGGCAGTCGCTAGTTACCAACCTAAACAGGTATGTTTCACTATTTTAACAGCCAGTACTGCTGTCCCTAGGAGCTCTGTGGATCTGCCTGATCTTCCTCCTGGTCCTCACTGGGTTCTTCTAAAGACCTGAGGCTCTGCTGGAGTTGCTTTCTCTGGGAGCGCCAATGGTTGCCAGGAAACAGGCAGCCCTGGGTGCCTGGGGCCTTGAGCTGTGACCTACACTGCTAACCCACCAGCTACTCCCCACCAGCTACTTGTTGGAAAGGAGCTCTGGTAGCATAGTGTCTAAGGCACTTGACTGCTAACCAGAAGGCTGGCGGTTCAAACCCACCAGCCAGCCATCCTTGGAAGGAAGATGGGGCAATCTACTTCCGTAGTGATACTTTCTTGGAAACCCACGGAGGGCTCACTATGAGTCAGGTCCGACTCGACGGCACATAACAACAACAACAACAACAACAACAACTCCTCGGAAGAAAGGTTGGGCAATCTACTTCCGTAGTGATACCACCTCAGAAACCCAAGGAGGGATCGCTATGAGTTGGATTTGACTCATAGGCAGTGCGGTGCTTTGCATTTTTGCTGTACCTATGCTGCGAACCTCAACCCTGCCCCTTTCCAGCCCCAGCCCTTGCCATATTCATAGGGGTAGCATGTATTGTGTGGCAGGAAGAGGGGCTTTATGGAGGGCAGCGCCACCTGCTGATAGAAACCTGTATTGGTACTAGGCTTGGAGCTGAGGTGATAGTGCAGGGCACCTAAAGAGATGCCCAAGGGCACTGAAGCCATTTCCTCTCAGGGTCCAGCAGCCTGGACACCACCCCTCTGCTTACCTCAAAGTCCCCACTCCTTAGTGCTTAGGATGCCTCTCTCCTCAGTCCAGCTGAATTGGTAATCTTCCCAGCCCCACCCACCCTCACTTCTCCAACTCCATGGGGGCTTAACAATGGGAGCCCAGGAGCCATAGCTGCTGTGATGGAGACTTAATCAGGGGCACACCTATCTAGTGCCCAAAGAGAGGAGGTGTGAGTCTGGTGGCGGGGAGATAGCACATCTCTGGCGCCATCACCCACTACCATCCTGTGATTGCTACTAGCCTTGTAGCTCCTCTGCCTGATCTTCCTCCCGGTCCTCACTGGGCTCTTCTAAAGACCTGAGGCTCTGCTGGAGTTGCTTTCCCGGGGAGCACCAATGGTTGCCAGGAAACAGGCAGCCCTGGGTGCCTGGGGCCTTGAGCTGTGACCGGAGCTTGAACCTCCTCCCTGGGGCCCTGTGGGCACTCTGATGCCTCCACCCCCTTGCGCTTCCTGGGACTGACTTGGCCCCCCCTCCAAAGCCAAGCTTGACACTGACTCTGCCACTAACTCCTCAAAGGCTATTTTCTCTTTGGCCCTGAACCAGAGAAGCATGAGGATGGGAGTTGAGGGCAGAAGGAGATGGAATCTCTACTACGGTCCACTCCCCTATCCACCAAATCTCCACCAGATACACTAGCTGTGTGACCATGGGCCAATAACAGCACTTCTCTGAGCCTCAGTTTTTCTCATCTGGAAAGTGGGGCCAAAAAAGGACCTGTTTCTGAGAGGGCTGTTGCCATTATGAAATTAAAGTAAGCAGAGAGCTCAGCCTGGGGCTGAATCAGTGCTTAGTGCATGGGGGCAGTTCTCAACTCATCCACCCACCCTCTGGCTCCTTAATTCTCAGTCCTCATCATCTCTGGTAGGCTCTCCCTTGGCTTCTACACCGGCCCCTCCTTTTTTCCCTCCCCTTCTCGGTGCCCTTTTAGACTCCCCCCTTTATCTTTGTTTTTGTTCTTCTCCCTTCTCTTCCTCACACCCCCACCCCTTGGAGGGAGGACGTATTTAGTCATTCAAGCCCCAGGAGTGGATGCTTCAGTCCAGCTCAGGGTTATTTTTATCTCCTTAATCAATAACCCAGAGCTGCAGGCCCACATCATTTGGGGAGTTTGGTGGGGACTGAGGCTTCTCTTGTTCTGCCTATCATGCTCTCTTGGGGAATCCTAGCCTGTGTCCTGATCCAGACCTCAGACTAGGGCAAAGCAAAAAAAAAAAAAAAAGGAAGAGCTATAGGTTCACAGAGTTCCCCAGCTCAAATTTGTCTTTAATATTTTTCCAGTGAAAAACTGGCACCAGGCAGGGGTGAGTCAGCGAGGGCCATTCCCATCCCCAGGGCTGCTCTCTGCAGCCACCAGTTTTGGGGGGAGATTGTGGGAAGCCTGATTTTAGGATGTGGCAGCTGAAACTATATATGGAGCTGGAGGAGGTGCTGACCGACAGTCAGGACTATTGGCTTCTCACAGGCTGGTCACTGGAATCCTCCGGGCCTCAGAGTTTCTATCTGGGAAGAAGGGCATATCCCATGTCCAGGGGCAGAGGCACAGCTCTGGGAGCCTGGAACTCTGGGTTCTAATCCTGGCTGTAACACTAATATATTATGTCACTGTTTCTCTTTGGACCTCAGTTTACCATCTCCTATAAGGGAGCTCTGGTAGCGTAGTGCCTAAGGCACTTGACTGCTAACCAGAAGGCTGGTGGTTTAAACCCACCAGCCAATCCTTGGAAGGAAGATGGGGCAATCTGCTTCCATAGTGATACTGCCTCGGAAACCCAAGGAGGAGTTGCTATGAGTCCGGTCTGACTCGACAGCACATTACAACAACAACAACAACAACAACATAATGAAGTGGTTGGGCTTTCCCAGCTGGGACACATACTATGAGTCATTGGCTCTAAAGCCTGCCCTTGTCACAGTCTGTGTATGAATTATTGACTGGAAAACTAATTTGCTATGTAAACTTGCAAACAAACCAACAAACTCCTTACGCCACCAGAGCTTCCAAACTTTCACCTAAAGCACAAGAAAAGGAGGATAAATAAAATGAATGAATAAATAAAGCCTGCACTTAAGACGACTCAGCCTGGATGAACACTTGTGCCAGAGTCAAGCATCTGTGAGGTCCAGGCAGCTGAGGCCTGAGGTCAAGAACAAAGGCCGGGCCTGGAATTTCGCTTCATCCTTAGTGCCTCTCTCTGTCCCGCTCACAAATCCAATCAGTCGCCAAATCCTTTCCTTCCATCTGCTTCCCACTGGTCCTCTCCTTTCCATCGCTCTTTCAGCCCTCATAGTCATACAGGCTGTGGATGGCATGGTGTGTGTACCAGTTGCTAGGACTAATTGTTTACATGAATCTTTGGTTTTCTTCGTTCTTCTTTGCTCTGGATGAGGAGAGACCCATCGTTGCATCTAGATGGCTGCTTGCAAGCTCTTAAAATCCCAGTCGCCACTTGCCACCGTAGGAGGTGGACCAATGTTTTGTGTAGTATGTTATGCCCATCAAGCTTGATGTCCCCTGTGACTATTAAACCCGGTCTTTTTTACGATTTTGAATTTTATTGCACATAGTTCTCCCATTCTATCCGGGATCTTCTGCACTGATCCCTTTCTGAGTGTTTGGCAGTAGTTATTTTCTGTTTCATCTTAATATCATGTCTAGACACAGGGCCTCCTAAGGGCTGGGAGGTGCTCAGTGAGCTTTTACTAGAAAGGGACAGGAATCCTCAGGGACTGGTTCCCAGGTTTCCCTCTGCAAAGACCCCTTTGCCCTACAACTCTTATTGAACCCCTCAAGTCTCAGTTTTCCCTCCAAAAAGAGCTAACACGTACCCATCTGGCAGGACTGTTTTGCTTAGAGATCGTGGTGATGACAGGGACAGCACCTCTCCCCAACCCCCGGTGTCTCTTTGCCTCACCTGAGCAGCGTTTCTGCAGCCTCAGGATCTCCAGGTGCAGGTCTCGCAGGAGGGCCATCTGCTCTTTTTTCAGGAAGCTGATGTGGCGCTGCACGCTCTGGATCTGATGCTCCAGGGACACAGTATCCATGGCAACCTGGGCCTGGCCCCACCTGGGGAGGGTGACAAGGTGAACCCACGTCTTCTGAGCTGTCTGCCCTGCCCCATCCTCAGACCCCTCGTTGTCTTCTGCACTCTGGGGGCCCACTGCTACCAGCTAAACAATTCTGCCACTGCTGTTGTTTCTCCTAGTTAGTCCCTAAAGCTGCAAGAACAAGTGGGAGTATGGACGGGGAAGTTTAATTGTTCCCATTTAACAGATGATGAAGCAGAGGCCCAGAGGGAAATGGCTTCATTCCCCTGCCCTCATGTAACTTTAGCTTCTTCTACTTCTTAGAGAGGAAAACAAATGAAGCAGCAAACTCAGTAAAGAGAGACAGAAGACTTGGATTCTAACCTGTCCTTTAACCAGCTGTGTGTCTTTAGGCAAGCCCTTTCCTATTCTGAGCCCTTGGTTTCCTCATGGGTAGAATGAGAGGATAGTGAACCAGGTGAACCCTGCCTCTTCCAGCTCAAACACTGTGTAAATATCCAAGCTCAAGGATGTCCATCAACTGAAAGGGCAGCATAGGCACAGGACCTGGCTTAATGAATGCTACATCCCTTCTCCTTTCTCTTCTTCATTTAACTTGTGAGTAGGTTAACCCCTGTCTTGATTTGCCAATTTGTCCATTCATTCATTCAGTGATCTACTATTGCCAAACACTGTTCTGGGCATGGGGGATACAATGAAAAGCAAAACAAAGACCTTGCTCTCATGAAGCCCACAGAGCAATGAGGAGAGAGACATCAAACAAATAAATAATACATCAAACAAATAATACAAATAAATATGTAATTACAAACTGTAATAACTGTCATGAAGGAAAGCTACAGGATAATGTCAAAGAATATAAAGGAGAACCTACTTCAGATTTGGGGTCAGAGGTCTCTTTGAAGAAGTGACTTTTAGGCTTAGACCTTGAGGTAGTGTGGTGTAGTAAATTGCATAGTGTGGCTTTTCTAGCCATAAGTCTTTGTAAACTCCCTGGTGGAATCTGCCATGAGCAACCGAGTAGCTGCTGATTGTTCAAGTTATCCATCTGGGGTATTTCTGTTGGGAGCAGCATGAAGTAATTTTCTGGGAAGTCCTTTCTGTCTCAGGTGTATAGAATTCTGATGTTGGGACTGGTTAGTTTGGCCATCTGCCAGGTTCAAAAGGAGCCCTTCTGGAGACAGAAGGAATCTCTCACTTCTAGGAGAGATGTGAGAGACACGTGCTGCTGAGAAAGAGACATCAAGAGACATGCGCTGCTGGGAGAGAGACAGAAAGAAACTCAGCTGAGAGATGCCTGGCTGAGAGAGACTGAGTGTGTTCCTGAACTTGAATTGTAGCCTGTTGCTTCCCTAATAAACCCCATAATCTGTGAGTTTTGAGTGGCCACTGAAGTGAATTATCGAACCCAGCAGAGAGGTGGTGGGTGCTGCAGGAGGAATGGTTGGTGTCATTGTTGATGAAAGGGCTGGAGGGAGGCAGCATGTCTGGCCTCACAGGAATAGGCCTTGGGCTATTGATGGTGATTCTGTCTTCCTCTTGTGGGATTAGAGGAGGTCAGAAGATGTGGCCTCCTTGCCCCTTTGGCAGGTAGGTAGAATTCTAAGAAGGCCCCTAAAATTCTTGGTCCTTGAAGTACATGCTATCCTGTATAATCCTCTCTCCTTGAGTGTGGGTAGAACTGTGAATATGATGGATTTCACTCCTGTGAGAGGTTATATGATAAAGATGAAGAGATTCTGCAAATTAATTAAGCCTCTAAATTTGCTGACTTTGAGTTAATCAAAAGGAGGCTATTTTGGGTGGGCCTGGTCTAATCAGGTGAGCCAGTAAAAGGTACTGGATGTTAACTAAAGGAAGAGATCTAAAGAATGAAATTTTGCTGCTGGGCTTGAAGAGGTAAGCTGCCATGTTGAGTGAGCCTATGGAGGAGGCCGCATGGCAAGGACCTGAGAGTGGCCTCTAAAAGGTGAGAAATGGTCCCTGGCAACACCCAGCAAGACAACTGGACTTCAGTGCTACAACCTCAGGAAAATAAATTCTAACAACCTCAGGCAACTTGGAAGAGGATTTTTCCCTAATTGAACCTTCAGATGTCAGGATGTAGCCAGCTGCCACCTTAATTTCAGCCTTGTGAGACCCTGAGCGAAAGACCCAGCTGTAATGGGCCAGACTCTTGACCCTTGGAAACTGTGAGATATTAAGTGTGTAGTAATTTGCTATTCAGCAGTTGCAAACTAATGCAGACCTGAAAGAGGGTTAGGAGTTAGTCAGAAGAGTAAAGGGAAGAGTGTTCCAAACAGGGAACAGCATCTGTGAAGGCTCAGAGATAGGGAAGAACTAATAGTGATGACAGCTGATAATAATGATAGTTATTACTAAGGGCCTGCTATTTGCCAAACCCGTGTTATGTGCTTCACATGGTAAGTCTGAGAAGCTGAGACACTGCCACAGCCAGTGAGGGGAGAAGTGTAAGGGATTGGGGAGGGTCGCAGGAAGTGAGGTTAGCAAGGGAAGGCTCACACAGGGCCTTGCAACCATATTAAGAATTTTGGATGAATCCTAAGTAAATTAGGAAGTTATTAAAGGGTTTTAAGCAGGGGAGGGATGTGAGATGATTTGCATTTTCAAAAGATCACTCTGGCTGCTGTGGGGAGAGTATATTAGAGGGGGAAGAGAAGATAAGGGAGGGTCAGCTGGGAGAGCAGTACAGTGGTCAAAGTGAGATGATGATGGTAGCCTGGACCAGATGATGGGGGTGAAGATGGATAAAAGCTCCAGATGTATTCTGAAGATAGAATCAGAAGGATTTGGGGGTGAACTAGACTAAGTCATGGGGATGGGGAGGAGGATGCCCAGGACATCTCTGTTTTCTAGCTTGGGCAACTTAAGCATGAAGGTGCATTTTCTGGATCTATCCCCTAGCCCCATCTTTCACATTAGATCTGTTTCACATTGTTTTCTATCTATAATTACTCCCTAGACGACGTCATCCAATCTCATAACTGCAAATACTATTTATACGCTGTTGACCCCTAAACTAACTCTTCCCTGAATGTTAGACTGGCTATCTAACACCTCCATTTGGGTGTCCGATAAATTCCTCAAACTTACAAGTCCCAATTATAAGTGCCTGCTCTCTCTCCTGCAAACCTGCTCTTGCCTACTGTTTGCAATCTCAATAAATGGTACTGCTATTTATAAGTACATGGTCTCTGCTCTACTACTAACTGAAAGGTTAGAACTTTGAACCCACTCAGCAGTGCTTTGGAAGAAAGCTCTGGTGTGATGTGCTTCTCTGAATATTTTAGCCAAGAATACTCTATGGAGCTCAGTTCTACTCTGTTAACACATGGGGTCTCCTTGAGTCAGAATTGATCAACCACAACAATACTTGCCTATTTACTGACCCAGTTGCTACGACCAAAAATTGGAACAGTTTTTGACTCCTTTCTTTCTTGATATTCCACAGCTAATCCATCTGCAAATCCTGTTCACTCTTCCTTCAAAAATATCCCAAATCCAATCACTTCTCATTATCTTTGTTGCATCTATTCTAGTACAAGCCACTACCATCCCTCTGTGTCTTCTTGCTATCTCCTCCTAACTGGCTTCCTACTTCCACCCTTATCCCTTATTCTTCACAAAGCAGCCAGAGCTCCTTTAACAAAGATAAGTCTGAATGTCTGCCCATCCCCCACTCAAAACCCTCCAAATCCAAAGTTCTACCTAATGGGCCCCTGGCTCCTTCTCTGCCCTGATCTCCTAACATTCTCCCCTATTGCTGGCTCCACTCCAGACACTCTGACTCCTTGCTGGTTCCTGAACATGCCAAGCACACTCTTGCTTCAGGAACTTTGAACATGCTGTTCCCTCTGCCAGGGATGCCCTTTACCAAGATACTCGGATGGTCCATTCCTCCCCTTTATTCAAGGTTCTGCTCAAATGCTCTTTAGGGCACTTTCCTGACTATCTGATTCAAAACAGAATCTTCTGTCACTCCTCATTCCTTTAATCTGCATTCTCTTTCTTCAATGAACTTATCACCACATGAATATATTAAATTTTCTATCTATTGTCTGTTTCCTCTGCCAGATTGTCAGCAATGTAGGATCAAGGACTTTACTCTGTTTCCTCTGATTCCCTGGAACCTAACAGTCTCTGGCAAATAGGAGGTCCTCAGTAAATATTTGTAGAGTCCACGAGTAAGTGAATTTGTGGAGATGGGGTAGATTGATGGAGGAACTGATTAACAGGGAGGATAAGATTAAGACTGAGACATGTTCGGTTGGACATGTCCGAGAGACCTCAAACAAGTAGAAATAGATGCCAACCAGGTAGTAGACTATACTGGTGCATAACTCAGGAGAAACAGGTGAGTAGCATGTCTGTGTTATTTATGTCTATGTTGGGAGGTGTGGGTCTATTACATGTGCCTAAGCCTGTGTTTTGGCCTCATGGAACGTGTGTGTGTGTGTGTGTGTGTGTATGAGTGCGTGGGTTTCTCTCTTCTCTTGCATGTCTATCTGTTTGCTGCGTGTACACTTGGAAGATGAAGGTGTGTGGGCCTGTGCTTAGAATGAAGAGAGAAAATGTCTGCTTCCAGACACTGAAATGCAAATGTTTCTAAAGAGTAAAAGGCCTTCCCACACAACCCTCGAGACTGGACCCTGGCCACAGAGAGAAGCTGAGCCAACCAGCTGTTTCTGTATCTTCCCAGAAGGACTTGAGGGTTTGCTTCCAACTAGGCAGCCTGTTCTTCTCAGGGCAGAAATTTGGGTCACAAAGGCTCTTGGCAAATGTTCCTTCTTAGATATTATTGTTTAGTTTGTTTGGGGGAAGTTGGGCAATGGAGTAGGGAAGGGGGAACAAAGGACAGTACAAATCTCTCTGGGTGGCTGGGGATTCACAAGCACTTCAGAAGGCCCCAGCCGGGAGATGTCAAGTTTCCAGATCAGAGATACAGTTCTGTAACCTGTTGACATCAGAAGCTCATGCCTGAGACCTAGGTCCAGGGCAGTGACAGGAGCCAAAAAGGGTTAGCAGATCAGTTCCATCTTCTCCCCAAATACAATCCTAGATACATAGCCTCATGGTTCAACATGTTCAGTGGAGAGGGTCACTCACCCCTGTCCACTGTCCTGTCCACCTTATGGCCCACATGGCTTCTGCTTCCTGCCTCTGGTGCTCTTACTTCTTTGTTTTAACTTTCTAGAGTGATAAAAAAATGTCCATTCAAAAACACTAGCATTGAGAGTATTTCTACATATGTATTCGCATATGCTGCAAATGTATCCATGAATACAGTACAGCATATAGGGGGCAAATAATGAAAACTTCTAAGCCGTAACCAAAAGCCCCAAAGGAGTGAGACACTGGGCCTGGGGAGTCAGAACCATAATCTTGGGGGATATTATGGTCAATTGGCACAACACAGTCCACAAAGACAGTGTTCTACATCCTACTTTGGTGAATAGTGACTGGGGTCTTAAAAAACCTCATGAGCAGGCATCTAAGGTACAACTATTAGTTTCTTCCCATTTGGAGCAAAGAGGAGTGAAGAAAATAGAAGACCACAGAAACAATCAGTCCAAAGGACCAATGGACCATAGATCATGCAAACCTTAGCCTCCATGACTCTGAGACCAGAAGAACCAGATGGTGCCTGGCTACCATGACCAACTGCTCTGAAAGGGATCACATTAGAAAGTCCTGGATAGAGTGGGAGAAATGTGGAAGAAAATTCAAAATTATTAAACAAAAGATCAAGGTTACTGGTCGGGAAGAGACTGTTGGAACATCTAAGACTATGGCCTTCGGTTACCCTTCAGACCTGGAGCTGAACTCACTTCTGTTGCTAGATTTTCAATGAAGACAGTGGACAGGTCTACAAGGTGAACAATAACTCTAGGAAGATAGACACATCTTAGAACAATCAACCATTTGAGATCAAGGACAAAGTTCAGAAGGCAGGAAGGGTTAGGAGAGGAGGAATGGAAATGTGAAACATAGGGAAGATGTGGGAAGGAGTGATGTTACATCAAACCGAAAAATCAAACTCACTGCCATCGAGTCAATTCCGACTCACAGCAACCCCTTTTGGGCTTCCGAGGCAGCAAATCTTTACGGAAGTACATTGCCCAGTCCTCCTTCCATGGAGTAGCTGGGGGGTTTGAATCACCAACCTTCTGGTTAGCAGTCAATGCTTTAGGCCCTACATCATCAGAGCTCCTTGATGTTACATCAAGGGGATTGCAATCAATTACATGAAATAAAATGTATGTGCATTATTGAATGGAAAACTGATTTGCTCTGTAAATTCTCACCCAAATCACAATAAAAAGTTCAAAAACAAAAAACTCACTGAGGGGAGGAGGAGAGGTAAACCTGTAACACTGGATTCACAGTTAAAAGAGTTAATTCTAAGCACTTTTGACACTTGTCTCAAGTGTCTGAAAGTTACAAATATATATATATATTTTTTTCCCCCTGGGAGGAGTTGGGGATGGGAAAAGACTTCTGTGTACAAGTCCCCAACCACAGAGGAGGTTATCAGGCTCAGGAACCTTCTGACCCTGGCATAATTCTGACTCCCTGAGGCCTGGGCTCTCAACCTCTGAAAATGACCTCTCTTTCTACTTATCTTTTTGGAGGTTCTGGGTACTCACTTCCTTCCCAGCTATCTGTCTACCACTGATTTGGAGAGTGGGAGACTTTTCTTGCCTCTCCAGATTCTATCAGTACCGGATGCTGTCAAGTCAGTTCTGAACCATGGCGACCCCATGTGTCAGACAACTGTGCTCCATGGGATTATGAAGCAGATTACCAGGACTTTGTTCTCAGGTGCCTCTGGATGGGTTTGAACTGCCAACCTTTTGGTTAATGGCTCAGCCATTACATTAACCATTTACACCATGCAGGAACTTCTCTCCAGATTCTAGATGGCCACAAATATATCTAGCTTAGGGAATCCTGGCTCTGGGTTAAAAGAACCACAGAAAGTACAGAATCATAGCACATGGGGCTCAGAGAGGCCTTCAGAACTATCTCACCCAGTGGTTTTCAAATTCTGCTCCCTGAAGCCCCAGGGTTCTGCAGAGGGGTCTCAGATGTTGCTACAAAGGTTGGAGGGAAAGGGCAGGGCCGAAAGCTTTTCTTTTTTCTCTTTTATATGCTGGGTACACACAAGTTCATTGGGAAAAAAGCTTCTGCTAACCAAAAGTTTGAAAACCACCATTAGAGTCCAAACTCCTTTCAAATGCCTACATCCTCCCTCCCTTTAGTCTGCCCAGTGTTCCACCTGGCCTCTGCTGCCCTCATCTCTCTCCTAGACTGGGGAGGATCCAGAACTTAGGCCTCCTGCTTTCTGCTTGCTCGGAGTTTACACTATTCACCACTCCCACCCCTTACCTGCTTCTCTTATCCCAGTTTCATTCTTCATGTTTCTTTTCTCTTTGTGATTGAAAATATTTACAAATCAACAATTATATTTGCCCTGTTTTGAACGCTCAATACCCATGTTTTGTTAAAATTCTTTAAGTATGCCTTTTTGTTTTAAGGAGAATCTTAAACTTGTTTTTTCTTTTTTTTTTGAATCTCAGTCTTCTACCCAGTGCAGGTGTCTTAAATAGGAAGGCATTGTTGTTGTTGTTGTTAAGTGCCATCCAGTCGTTTCCGACTCATAGCGACCCCATGCACAGCAGAATGAAACAACACTTCCCAAAAGGAAGGCATAGAACAAATTAATAAAGAAGTTAATTAATACGTGCTTTACTTTTCTTAAGGATTCCTGGTGGCGTAGTGGTTAAGGCATTTGGCTGCTAACCAAATGGTTGGTGGTTAGAACCCATCAGCTGCTCTGTGGAAGAAAGATGAGGCACTCTGCTTTTGTAAAGATTTACAGCCTTGTAAATGAGGGTCGTTGTGAGTCAGAATTGACTTGATGGTAATGAGTTTGGTTTTGGTTACTTTTCTTAGTCTTTGGCTTGCAGAGGCCTGGGGCAAGGGAAGGCCAGGAACTTAAGAAACCTTTCTCAGACATGCACAGCTAAAACTATTTATATTTTGAATATGTTAACAAACAACATACTAATTATTATATTATAATTTAGAACCTTTATAAATTATAATTTATAATAATATCAACAACAAATGACTGCTACTTATTCAAGTATTTTACTTCTATTAACTCACTTACCTTTATAACAACCCTACCTTGAAGGTTCTAGTATTATACCTTCTCTATAGATGAGGAAACGGAGGCTCAAAGAGGTTAAGTAATTTGCCCAGGGCACAATACTACAGTGCCTGGCATCTACGAGCACCCTATAGGGTGCTCATCTTGGTATTTAAGGCCCTCTACAATCTAAAAGCAAACCACGTTTGCAGCCTAATCTCTTCCTATGGATTCTCCTCTTTATTGTTTCCGTGACAAATTCTCCCTGTACCCATAGACATCCCCTTCCTTAATGTGCCCTACCCTAACTCTGTCTCCTGAAACCTGACCTTCAGGGCCCTGTTCAAATGCTACCTCCCCAGGAAGCCGTCTCTGATCTTCCACCAAGCTGCAATTACTCTCCCACCTCTGTTCCCCAGCCAGCTTGTTGGCATCTAGGTGACAGCTCACATCAAATTCTGCTGTGTATCACACTTCACTGTGTGTGTGAGTGTGTGTGTGCCTGGCCTCTGCTCTAAGCCATAAGCTTCCTGGGAACAGAGGTTTGTCTCTGGGAATCCCCTGCATGGAACAGGCAGACACTGAATGTTGGTGAAACCCAATGAATTGAGTCTTAACTGGGAATCATGAGACAAGTAAGTACATGTATTGAAAAATAATTACTCCCTCCTTCCTTCCCCCAGACCTTGGTTCTCCTGGGGACTTGAGTCCTGAACAAGAAGTCAACCTTTGACAAATCTGAGACTCTATCTGCAAGGTAGGGCCACTTGGCCAGTGATGGGGCCACATTCCCCAAGAGTTCTGGGGGTTCTCTTCACTCCAGCGCATCCCCTCTTCTCCCCCAATACCACTTGGCTGTGGTTGTCTTGGCTCCACTGAACATCGCAGAATTCCCAATCTCAGCGAAGTTGAGGACCTAGGCACACCAGAGTGGGGGATATGGGGAAGGGAGTCCCCCACCCCCTCTGGTCTTCGTTCTGTCCTGATTATGCATCGAATATAATTTCCAGAAAAGATAGAGGGGGATATGGAGACTCCGGAGGACAGTGAAGAGAGGTACGAGAGAGGAAGAGGAAAGGAAGGCTGAAGAAAGGTATGTGGTAGTGGCAGGAGGGGGTGGAGGTTCAGCCTCTGACCGCTCTGGACTTTCCCCCAGGGCCCAGCAGGTCCAGGGTCCGGGCGGCGGGGGACAACTTCTGGCAGCAGCCCGTAGGTCCTGTCCGCCTCCCGCGCTCTATGGTGCCCAGCCCCGTGCAAGCCCTCCCGGGGAGCTGGGGCTTGGGCCGCGCTGCTCCCCACCCGGGGCTACCCCGGTGCCCCCTTCCCACCCCCACCGGCCTCCTCACCTGCGGGACCGGAGGGAGCGGCAGGCCAGCGGGCCCTGGGTCGGGGCCGGGCTGGGTGGGGGAGGCGCTATTTCCCCCGCGCTAGCTGCGCCCGGGGTTCCGCAGCGTCCGCCCCAGCTGCAGCGCCATCAGCTGCTGCGAGGTTGCTGGGCTGCCGGGCCCGGGCTCCTGGGGGCTCCCGAGCGCCGAGGGGGGCTCCGGGGCGGGCTCGAGGCGTAAACACCCAGCAACGTGACCGGAACTAGCGAACGAGCCGGAGAGGGGCGGGGGGGCGGGAAAGATAAGGGGGGAAGGGCGGGACCTGCGACTGGCGGGGGGGGGCCGTGGGCGGGGCAGGGGGAGGGGAGGTTGACGGAGCGCAGTCGGGGGAGGGGGAACCCCGGGAGCCCGGGGAGTCTGGCCTAAGGACCCCGGCGGGCGGCGGGACCTGCCGAGCTGGATTTGGCTGGGAGCTGCAAGGAGAACCTAGAAAACCCGCTGGAGACTTGAGCAAAGGCGCGGCGGGTGGATCAGCACCGCGGACAGCGCCCAGGCGGGCAGGCCCAGATCCACTCCACCCTCCACCCCTCTGTCTGCCCCCGGCGTCGGACGTAAAGCCAGCGCCCCCACAGGCCCTGGGAAGGGTTGGGGTGCGGGGAGCGAGCTGACCAGGAGTCAGAAAACCTGCGCCGCTTCTAGTCGCAGCAAAGCCACCCACATCTCTCATTAGCTGTGTGACCTTGGGGGAATCCCATCACCTCTCTGGGCCTCCATTGGTAACACCATTTCCTTCCTCCTTATGTGAGGGATCTTAGACCCAAAGGAAGAACCTTTATAAACTAAAGTCTAGGACAAGAGCAAGGCATTGATGTTGATGCATTTTCACTGCACATGGGAAGCTGCTCGTCAGGCTCCTTGGCTCCTCCAACACCTTTCTTCATCCTTAGCGTCTGTTTCCTCATCTACAACGTCTCTATGAGTAGGAATCAGCTCTATGGCAATAGGGTTTTTCTGTAGCTCATGAGATCTTTGGGTTGTCATGAGCATTAAGTGGATTAATACATGCAAAGTGCTTAGAACAGTGCCTGGCACATTTGAGTGATCATTAGGCATTCACACTCGTGATGGCAAGGGACCAGGTGACATTGTTGTGAGTGGCAGGTGACTCAGAGCTCCCTCTGGGTAAGTCACTCCCATCCTTGCTGTGAGGGATCAGAAGAAGGGACTGAGGGTCGTGTCTGGCTTTTCCACTTCACTGCCAGGCAGATACTTCCCGCCCTGGAGAAGGACATCATGCTTAGTAAAGTAGCGGGTCAGCAAAAAAAAAGGAACACCCTCCGCAAGATGGATTGACACAGTGTGGCTGCAAGAATGGGCTCAAACAGCCAAGATTGTGAGGATGATGCAGGACTGGGCAGCGTTTCTTGGTGTTGTGCATAGGGTCACTATGAGTCAGAACCGACTTCACAGCACCTAAAACAATAGCAAGGAAGAATTTATTGACATGAAAAAAAATCAGGATATATTTTGGGAAAAAAAAAAAAAAAGTTGCCAAGTAGAGCCAACCACTTGCTGTTCAGTTGACTCTGACTCATGGTGACCCCAAGAGTGTCAGAGAACTATGCTCCACAAGATCTTCTCTCTTTCGTATGAAGGGATGGACACTGGGAGGAGGTAACTATGGGGAGGAAGTAGGAGGGGAGCTGCTGCATTGTAAATTTTGGTCAATGACATGAGACAAAGTATATGTAAACTGCTGTATGAAAAGTGAATTTACTCTGTAAATCTTCACCCAAATCTTAAAAAAAAAAAAAAAAAGATCTTCTCTCTTTCTTTCTTTTTTTGCAAACACTGTGGGGTTTTATTTCCCTCTTTTTTTTTTAAATTGTGGTGAAAATATACACACCAAAACATCCGCTAACACAATTTTCACATTTGCAATTCAATAACATTGATTACATTTTTCATGTTGTGCCTTCTCAAAAATATTCCACCGTCATTAACATAATCTCAGTGCCCCCCAAACACACACTCCCTTCTTCCCTCTCTCCCACCTCTGATAACCACCAGTAACCCTTCGTTTTTATGTGTTTGCTTATTTCATATAAGTGAGTTCACACAGTAGTTGTCCTTCTACAGCTGATTTATTTCACTCAGCAGGATGTTTTAAAGGTTCGTCCATGTTGTAGCACGCTTCAGAATTTCATTTCTCTTTATAGCTGAATAATATTCCATTGTATGTATGTGCCAAACTTTCTTTATCCAATCATCTGTTACTGGACATTTTCTTAAAATTTTTATTGTGATTTGGATGAAATTTTACAGAGCAAATTCATTTTCCACACAGTAGTTCCTATACATTCTTGTTTCATGACATTGACTGCAACTCCCCACAATGTAACAGCTCTCTTCCCACTTCCTCCCTGTAGTTACCTCTTGTCTGTGTCCTTCCCTCCCATGCATTCCTGCCCCCTGAGCTGTCTCCCTGTGATAACACCACCCTTCCATTCTCCCAGGACTGAATGCTCCAAGGAGTGTTACCTACCTGATGTAAATGTTCATCCCACATGCTTATTGTTTGGCTGGAAGCCATGGGAGTGAGTTCAGTTCCAGACTTGAAGGGTAACTAGGGGTCATAGTCTCAAGGGTCTCACCAGGCTCAGACCAGGAAACCTGGTCCCCCCCCTTTTTTTTTTTTAATGATTTTGAGTTTTGTTGCACATTGTTCCCTCACTGTACCTGGGATCTTCTGCACTGATCTCTTTCCAAGTGGTTGACAATGGTAGCTGGGCACCATCTAGTTCTTCTGGTATCCTGGTCATATAGGCTGAGGTTTGCATAGTCCACTAGTCCCTTAGACTAATTGCTTCCATGAGTCTTTGATTTTCTTCATTCTTCTTTGCTCTGGATAAAGAGAGACCCATCATTGCATCTAAATGGCTGCTTGCAAGCTTTTAAGACCCCAGTGGTTACTTACCAAAGTAGGATGCAGAACAATGTTTTTGTGTAGTATGTTATACCAGCTGAGCTTGATGTCCCTGTGACCATGATCCGGAGCCCACAGGTTGTTACTGGACATTTTGATTGTTTCTACCTTTTTACTATTGTGAAAAGTACTGCAATGAACATTGGCGTGCAGGATTCTGTTTGTGTTCCTGCTTTCACTTTTCCTGGGTATATACTTAGGATTGGATTCCTGGGTCATACGGTAATTCTATTCTCAACTTTTTGAGGAGGCACCAAACTTTTCCACAGCGGCTACACATTCACAGGGTTCCAATGACTACTTTTCAGAAGTAGACTGCAAGGTGCTTTCTTACAAGGTACCCCTGGATGGACTTGAACCTCCAACTTCTCAGTTAGCAGTCAAGCATGTTAACTGTTTGCACCAGCCACAGACTACCAAATTGAACTAGTATATCAATATATATTTATATAAAAATGTAGAAGAACTACCAGAACATATTATTTTTTATTTTATAATTCTGGCTTATAGCAACACTGTAAGGACAGAGTAGAACTGCCTTATAGGGTTTCTTTCTTTCCTTTTTTTTTTTTTTTTAATTTTTTATTGTGATTTGGGTGAAAGTGTACAGAGCAAATTTGTTTTGCCTTCAACATTCATTCACATTTGGTTTGTGATATTGACTGCAATCCCCACAGTGTAACAGCACTCACCCCACTTCCTCCCTGTGTTTCCTGTTACCATTTGTCCTTCTCTCCTATCCCTTCCTGCCTTCTCAACTTTGTTTCTGGGCAAATACTGCTGGGTGGCTGATTGTTCTAAAGAGTTCACTCCTCCCTGGTGTTATTGAAGAAAATGTTTTTTAAAAAGTGATTTATATCTGGGTTGGTGAAGTTATGGTGATTTTTATTTCATTTTTTAAATTATTAACGTATTCTAATTTATCTAAATAAATATTAGGTGCAATAAAAAATATATATATATATGATAAACGCCATTTTCTTCCCATCCTCTCCCACCTTCCTAACTCTATCCCTGGGCATAGGATCTTATACTTTTGCTTGTTATAATGACTGCATACTTTCCTGACGTTATTGCTCACCTTATGGGTCTGTCTGTCATTTCCCTGCCAGTTGAGTCACAGAGATTAAGTTCAGTTTCTAGCTTGAAGGGTGTCTAAGGGCCATAGTCTCAGAGGTTCTACCAGTTTTAATCAGACCAGTAAGCCTTTTTTTTTCCTTGTGAATACACAGCCCTTCTATTCTCCCATGATTGATCTGTCCAACGAGTGTATCTACCTAATGTAAATGTTCAGCTCATATGCCTGTCTTTTGTTTGGCTAGAAGCCATAGGAATGGGTTCAATTCCAGACCTGAAGGGCAGCCAGGGGCCATAGTTTCAGGGGTTTCACCAGGCTCTATCAGACCAGCAAAACTTGCCTTCTTTTTTTTTTAATGATTTTGAGTTTTGTTCCATATTGTTCTCCCACTCTATCTAGGATCTCCTGTACCGATCCTCCTCTGAGTGGTTGACAGTGGTAGTCAGGTACCATTTAGTTCTGGTCTCATAGTCCTATAGGCTGAGGATTGCATG